ATTATCTGGATGAAATTAATGCCCTCCATACAGTCCAGACAACTGGCATTTTACCGTGTGTGCTTTAACCAGTACAAATACCAGTGACATTTGCAGAAATGTATTATGTCAAAAAGCTTTCAGACTTTTTAAATGTTATGGGTTTTTATTTGAGCCTTCCTATTTAAATTATGAGTGCCATTAACCAGGATATTGAACATTGGCTGTATATACACTGCATTATTGATACCAGATGCTGTCTACTCTAACATTTGTTCACATTAACGTAATAAAGCAAAATGATCTATTTTAACTTCTGTAATGTTGCAATTTTTACTATTCTTATTCTTGTATTGGCGAAAAGCAATATTAATTTGTCTTAGGGAATTCATTTGCATGGCTGTTTCAATTACAGACTGAAAATAAATATTATTCTAATTTAAATACTTCTAATGTACCAGTTACACAGGTCATGTAGGCATTCAACACTTACTATTTCTATAATGGGTTTAATTTTGTAGAATTTGATTCTACATACCTTTAAGTGGCATGTATTCACTTTATTTGCATTCTGATACATCCACATTCCTTTGGAAGGTCATTTTTTAGGTGCCCCAAAAAGTGCATGTGGCAAAATCAATGTTGAAGTACTTAGACATTTTGAACAAAAAAGTGTGATCCAGTACAATCTGAGTTGAATATTGCACAAAGTGATATCACAATGAAACTTGCACATATTGATAAATAAATTGTACTACCCTATATTGTGACAATTCCATTCAATGAGCTCTTTTCTTGACCTAGGTATAGTATATGGCCACCATTGTGAAAAAAAAAAACATAGACATTAATAATTTTCATCTGAAGTTTCTTGTTGGGAGTTAAGGTGAAGAGCATTCAATAATCATAAATGAATAGACTTTGGCTAAAATAAATTGAGTTAAGGTTTTAAAGAACAACTTATATTTGATTTAAAATATTAAAAAAATGCACATACATGACCCATGTGACTTTTACTATAACTGCAAATTGCTCAACAGTTATCTTATGTTAAAAATACATTTCTAGCTTTTTGTTTTTAAATTGAAACTTTTCTTGAAAATGAATGAGAAATGGTTCATTAATTGGTTAATTTGAAACAGTTTGGTCATTATTCTCAAAATTGCCAGAAGTATTATTAGTACAGTATTAGCCATAAGGCCAAGTGAGCTTATGGTTTCATCCCATGTCTATCATGCATCATCCATCATAAATCAAGCATCATTCCACCATATTTCTGTTCCAAATTCAATCAGACTTGGAATTGTGATTTGTATGATGAATTTAATTATGAGCAAGATTTTTAATTACTGCATATATATTATGATCTTGGCTAACATTTTTTACCACTTTGAGGCCCATATTTCGGATTGGAATATATGCTTACATTATTCAGATATCTGATGATTTCAGTAATGAGCAAGATCTGTGCATCCAAGTGAAGGGATACATAATGCTTTAGACCTGTATGCCAATGACACCACACTGAGTTATGTTGAACCAAAACTGATAATGTGTGAGATGCATGCATATTGTTGAGTTGATCTTGCTTTGATTGTCTACCCTTCTGGAAACCATGTACTTCATGTGATTTCTTTTTGAAATATTTAGTTAATAATGTCAAGATAGTGGATGATCTTGATAATTGACAATAGACAGCCATGAATATTTATCATTAATTGACTGATCTTGTTACCAGTGGGGAAGCTAATTTGTTTGGTGATCCAGTTTTGATTAAACTTGGAATATATGCTTCTGTCATTAATATGCACAGATCTAGATCATAACCAACTGTCAAGATTTTTTGACAGTTGGTTATGATCTAGATCTGTGCATATTAATGACTTGGCTTGTTTCTGAAACCATATTTTGAATTTGTTGGGTTTATTTTCATCATGATCTTAAATGATTTATGTTATGAGCAACACACTGCATCATCATCTTTATAAGCCATTTTTATCAAGTAAAATGCTGGTAGATCAAACCAACATGATATAAAGTTTGGGAGATAGTTTACATAAACCTGCTTAGTGAAATCTTAATATAAGCGATGTGAGTGGTATCAGGCCAACTCAAGCCTCTTGTTGAGTACTTTTCCAAATATGAATTTAAAGACTCAAGAAACAATGTACTCTTTGTAGAAACATACATCACTTTTCTGGTTTGCAAATTTAGGGTACCAGCAAAAACATAATTTTTTTGGCAAGACCAAAAAAGTAATATAAATATTAAATTGAAAATTGAATTGACAGTATTCTTTGCAACCTTTGTGAATATACATTATATATTTAGTGGATTATGTGAAAAGGCTCATGAAAAATCTATAATTGGTGAGGAGTGTCCGCATTAGTAACTCACCCATCAGATATCTGGAGATTTTTCACAAGTGGTTTTGAATTTTACAATGCTGTGGAATAGTCAGACAGGAATAATCAGGTTGCAATAATGCAGTTTATTCTAATATGACCCGAGTAGTTCCATTTTTAGTTCTATTAGTCATAGACCGATAAAGCTTAAGGGATGACTTTTTATGTACTGTCTGTCTTTCCATTTAGCACCAGCTTCTTATCTCTACTCCTCCCTAACAACTTGAAAGGTTGCTTGGAAACTTCAAACACACATTCATGACGGATTTAGTTTGTCACAAATGAATAACTTGAACACTCAATATGGTTGCCACATTGGCAGTGTGTTATTTTTACTGCCCTAAATCACCATGGGGATACGACTACTCTTCCTGAATGTCAGAAGGCTTTCAAAGCTCTACAGATGATGTTAATCAGCAATTCAATATGAGAACTATTAGTGAAAATGAAACAAAAATTTAGTTCAAAACCTGCGGATTCACCATTAAATATAGTCATTATTGCTAAAACTTGAAAACATTTGCAAAACTCATAAACTGCTCAACAAAATTTTACAGAAACATCTTGACATAGAATGGTTTTAGTTTACAAATGATGATGATCTTCGTAATCATGTATGGCCATCATTACTAAACTTTTAAAGAACTTCACTTCAAACTCCTCCACTTGAATTGATCAAATGCAACTAAAAATATAAAAAACCATGTTGCACATTCTAAAAGACCACTCAACAGACCTTGCAAAATTTGACAAATCATCCAAGATAATCTTGATGATGTTTAAGATTTCTACAAATGATGTTGATTTGCATTTAGCATTGCTATAAATAAAAAAACTTCCAAATATTATTACCTGAAAAAATGAATTTGACTATCTCTGACCAGCTCTGAAAGAAAGCTTCTTGGGAATAAGGCATTTCAATATTGGACCAATGATGCTATTAAGAATGGTCTTATTACAACTACTTTTTATAACATCCTAAAAAACAACATATACTTCTCAGTCTTTGTATGCACTGCATGCCCAAGAATTGACATGGACATTCATGAGTTAAATGCTTAAATTGAACATCTATGTCGTGAGTTGAATCACAAAATGATAGATGCTGAAGATGGATTTGTGACCAAGTCTGGATTAGTTCTGTAGCATATTATGGCAAAAGGTAAATCCATCTGAATAAAAATTACACTTTCTCCAAAATCATTCAATTTCTGCAACTTGAACTTTTGACTCTCATCCTGGTTCTACTAATGTGACTTAATTTTTTTATAGTCTTTTTTACTTGAGAAATTACTTACTCTTGCTTTAACATCTTTATCAGAATCAGTCTGATTGTTGTGGTCAGTATATTACTTGGGTGGAATTTTTTGGTTTTATGTGCAAGGTCAATGCATATTTTTGTGATTGTACATTAGGCTGTTTAAGGTTTTTACCACTGTAGAGATGTAATTTTCATAAGGTTTTGATCAAACTTGGCCTTAGTCATCATGGTTAAATGATTATGAGTGAAATCTATGATGGTTGAGTTTGAGTTGTGAGCAAGATCTGATCTTGTTATAACTCAGGAGATTAATTCCAGTTGGATTTGTTACACCTTAATATTGTTATTATGTTGTTGTAGACAGGTTTTATACAAAGAGATATCGTTGCATATTAGTGAGATACGTTGCATATGGTTGGCTAAACTTTGTTACCTTTCTAGATCTACAGACTATTTCTCATCTAATAGTGTTCAAATGTGGAAACTGTCATTTATGACTGAAGAAAAAGGATAAAACTGAAATAGTGTTAACAAAAATGTTCAATTGCAGGCTACTATAACCTATCTTCAGTGCTGTAATTAAGGAAGAGAAGTTTCTTCTTTTTTATAGGTTTTTACTTGCAAGTAACCATTTTTGTTTCTTTGTGGTAATCTTACTCAGATAAAAACATTACCTTAATGAAAACTACGTCCGAGTCATAAACTTATTTACAAAAAATAATTATAAGCTTTAAAAGATTATAAGTATCAAATAGGAATGATGTTAGTGAAATATACAGCTGTAGGCTAACATACACTATCTGCATTGTTTTCTTTAGGATCAGAGATTCTTTTCAAAATTATAAATAATTGTATGCCACTAATTGTGTTTATTTCTGATGTTAATTTTGCTCCACTAAAAACATATTTCTTGTACCAAAAACCACATATAAGTTATAAATTTATTTACAAAGAATTATTTTTAAACTTTTGGCCACATTTAAAATGCTTAAATTTTTGGGTGCAAGTTTTATATATTTGTTTTCAAAAGAGTATTTCTCCTGCTAGCATTGTCTTATGAGAATGCCTAAAACATTTACATTTTGTGTTTTGTTATCTTGGGTATTGTGCATTACTTATGGCTTTTAATATTTTCAGTGTCATTACATGTTTTTTTAAAATTTATAGTTCATACTTTTAGTTTTAAAAATATTCCTTAAGATGATTTACTCCTTAAACACTTACAGATTTAATTGCCAGGAATAAATAAATCCATTTCCTTAACAAAGCCCCACCCTTCCAATTTCATTTTGCATTAAAATCTTGTGACACTGTGGACTAACTAAAGCTTCACATGTAATTTGACATTTATATTTGACTGCTCCAGTGGCCTAATGGTTAGAGCATCCACTTTGGGTGCAGGAGGTCATGGGTTCCATCCCCATCCAAGTCATACAAACGACTTACAAAAATGGTACTTACAGCTGCAGCACTAAACACTCAGAATTAAGAGGTTAGTGTTAGGACTGGTCAGCCTGGTGTCAGGATAATGTGACTGGGTGGGACATCATCTTACATGTCTGCGGCATGATGCCCCAGTGCTAGATGTCACTAAACTGCCACACTGCAGACATATCTGTGATATGACTGAAAAATTGTTAATGATACATTAAAAGTCTAACACACACACACACACACACACACACACACACACACACACACACACACACACACACACACACACACATACACACACACACATACACACACACACACACACACACACATACACATAATTTTATATTTTGCATATTACTTATACCATTATCTTTGGACACCAGCATAATCAACATAATACAGTGAACACCTCAAAAGTGAAAGCTTAGTAGAACAAAGTTCATTCAAGACAAACCATTTTGTATTCCCAGATTATTTCTTCTTTAATATGATAATTTTTTCATCAACAAACTGAAAACTATTAAATGCCAAAACAAATGTCAATCCCAAAGTTTAATTACATGTGTAACTAAAAATTCGCATAAAATCAAAACTAAATTTAAACATGGAAATATATTTTAGCTGTTAAATTGCTATTGCCCTGGAGCAGATTAATTATGGTTAACAAGTACTGTAGTTGGCTAGTCTGTGAGACAAAGCCCTATAAAATGTCCCAAAGGTATGTGAGGTTCAAACAATATTTGAAGTCACAGCCAACACTGATGAGGGCTTACAATAGGATACTCTGAAGGTACCCTACAAAAGAGCCAGAAATACTAATAACTAAATGCTTGTAGGTAAGCCATTTTAGAAAGACTGTTTAACTGCTTATTATTTAATTGTGATTTATACTAATTATTTATTATTATTGTATGCTCGGCCATTTAATAGTGTCATCATCAGCAAGATACAGTGCCTGCAGTCCACTGAGAACTTTGTCAGTGGATAGATCAAAATGTGTGACATGGTTGAAGAGCTCCACAGCAACAGAAAGATTGCTTGCTTGTTTGTTTTTTTAAATTAAAAATCAAGGCTTTACTAACCAGATGTGGCCTGGCTTTTAATGCTTTACAAAGACCAACAAAGCAGTGTTCTAAAAGTCAGATTATTTACACACTGACATGTCCTGTCATTTTAGATCTTATACAGAAAATAAAAAACTAATTGATAGGCATTTTTTGGCTACAGCATAAAAACAAACCACATTTTGTTAATAAAGGTTGAAAAAAAAATGGTCAAAACATTATGCCTTCTTTAAGCAAGGCTCTTGAACTGGAGTGTTATGATTTAAAAGTGTATTTTATACATTATGGAGTAACTTTCAAAATTTGTGTAAATTTATAGTAGAGTTATAAAAGTATCTCATTCCTCTAATGTTTCTTTTGAGGAAGAAAATGTATTTATTTGTGGAAGAGTTTTATTTGTCTGACAGGGTGTGATCTCTGGAATGATTGTATGTTCAGCTAAATCTTCATTAAATATATGTATTTAACAACAACAAAAAACAGTTTTCCTGAGCACACATACACTGATGCTCTTGTAATTACACACAGACACACTGATGCTCTTGTAATTGGACACAGACATACACACTCACTCTCTCTCTCTCTCTCTCTCTCTCTCTCTCTCTCTCTCTCTCTCTCTCTCTCTCTCTCTCTCTCTCTCTCTCTCTCTCTCTCACACACACACACACACACACAATAAGTACTTAGCAGAAGACAGTTTTTTCAAATCTGAAAAAAACCGATAGTAAACCAGAAACTTCTCAAAGCCAAAATTATTTTGTATCCCAAAAGTTTTAAAATTTGAGTGATTTTGCAGGTTATATTCTTTAAAAAAAATTACTTAAACCTGCTTAGTGAAAATAAGTTGTGTATGGCTATGTTTTAAGAGTTGTTGCCAGTTTTGACTTGGAGGTAGATGCAATTTATAACTGATTCTTGTGACAACAACTAGGCTTGCTCATTAGAAGAAGAAGAATCAAATTTGACCATTCCCTGCACTCCACAGTGTTTGTAAGTTAGTCTTGTGACTGACTTCTGTGACACTTACAGGTCATTTATATAAAATGTAAGACACAATAACAAATTCAGGATGAGTATCATTTTCCTATCAAATTCAATTCCAGAACATTTTAAGTTGCTAACAATATCAGGTCTGTTTCTAAAGTTTTCAGTAAAGAAGATGTAAAACATCAAGAAGATCGGGTTTGTTACAGGAAAATACCAATGTCCTGAACTCAGATCCAAATAAATATGTTCACCTACAGATAATAATAAACTTAATATATTATCTAAAATCATAGATAATATTAGCTATGTAGTATGTTTTTGTTAACAAGAAAGACATTAGTCCTATCCTCAAATATGGACAAAGATCAATCTCACAATACATATTAAATATACAAAACACTTGACTACAACTGACTCAAATTATACAGTCTTGTATGCTAATGGGCATCACAATATTTGAAATATAATTGAAGTCACTGTACAAAATAATCTACATGAGTGTGTTATATTACTTAAATATAACTCTTCAGTATGATGTTAGAAACATTACTTAAGAATGTTGTAGGGAGAGGACTTTAAAATAAGGTCCTAAACTTTATGAAAGATAAGACCAAGATTTGACCTCAGCTGAGTGACACATTATGTTAGAATTCATAGATGTAAAAATTGTTCCTATTTATAAGTTTTTTTTAAAGATATGTTTATTGATTAATCTCTGTTATCAAATGATTTCATGGGAATTATTGCCCTTTTTGACTTGCATTTTAAGGAAATTGTTTTCAGTTTTATTGTCAACAGAGACAGTCGGGTTGGCATGTAAGAGTGGTAGGATTAATTTATATCAGCATTTAGTCCTGATTCATCATGTTTTCTTCATTCTTCCTTGATTTTTGTTTTTTAATTGTTATTTCTATATATTTACAAGCTCTTCTTTTAACCTGACCAGACAAGTAATTGCCATGTTGTTGCCATTGGATTATTATCTATTGTGTTCATTCTATTTTCTAAAATCACGCAAGGTAATCTTGCTGTCATGTAGGATTGAAAAAGCTTCAATCAGTGTAACCCATTTTCTTAACCCATTTGTAATGTAATTATTGTATTCACTCTTGACAAATTGAGACATATTTAAATACAATAATTGATTGTCAGTCCACAGCCATCAGTTCTAGAACTCTCTCATATGACAAAAGCTCATTTTCAATTTCAACAAGGTCAGGCAAAATTGCTTCCTGTCAAATTTACAAAGCATTATAGCAATATTTCTCCTCAGCATGAGATGTCTTTGCTCAGGAAGTTACAGCCAAGTTCTTGTGAGTCTGCAGTGCCTTAATAGCAAGCTTGATCTCCAATTTCTGACTTGTGTCTACTGCCCTACATATTTTAGTGTATTGTTTCAATTTTATAATGATAATAATAATGCTTTATTTATAGAGGGTGACTCATTTAGTCAAGGACTATTCTTTCTTGAGGCCCTCTTATGGCGAGAATAACAGTGTGGATTATATGAAAGATAGCAATAATTACTATTTATTTTAACATGTTTAGTATTAAAATACTAAATTTAATTATCTATTAGAAACATACTTTCTCATGATGTCTCTTCTTAAATACTTTAATATTTACAGCAGATTGTACATGTAGTGGAAGCTTGTTCCACAGAACTGTACCAGAGTATTAAAAGCTCTTTTTAAATTGCTCTGTTCTTGGTTTTGGTGCTAGGTTTCCATGTGATATTGATTCAATTGGAATTGTGTTGAAAAAGGTCTGAAAAAAATCCTGAAGATGCTCTGGTGCAGTTCCTTGTAGATATTTATATACAAGAACTGCCTTGTAAAAATCTATCCTTTCATATACATATGGTGAATCATTTGAGTTCTGTAAGCAATGCTCTTGAGGGATGATCAAAAAATGCTTATAAAATCATGTGTGCCTTATGGATATAAACAGTAATCTATTTTGAAAAAGAGATTAAAACCCAAATATAGCTTGAAGAAATATATTTATTCCAATTTGTAGGGGAAGATATAGTTACTTCCTACACTATTTTGGCTACAAAATATTGATGATCTTGAGCTAATGGTTCTGACAAAAATGTCAGCCCTCCTCCTCGGCTCCCCCAAATCAAATGGTTAATACCTAATAAACTAAAAAAATCATCACTTAAGAACCAGTACTGGACAAACTAGAAGAGAGATTACATAGACATTTATTCATTATAGAGCCATTAGTAATAGTTTACAAAGTTCATTTATTTCCTTGAACATTAATATGGCCTTTTGGTGGATTTCTCTGTATTCATATTTCAGCCATTTCGAAACTTGCATTCTGGATGGTGTTTCATTTTGTACATATTAATTCAGATGATTTTGTTCTTGTGTAATTTAAGTGTGTAGCTTAATTAAGATGGTTCTTTAAAATGTGATTTCAGCTTATGATTGTTTATTGTCACACAATCAAAATACTAAAACAAAAGACATTATCATAACGCAAAATTTTATGTTCTCAGTCAGCTTGGTTGACACCTTGAGTTAAAGGCTCCATTAATAGTCTCACTCTAAGTAGTATATAACTATGGGCAGTGACTTATAAGCAGGAATGTGTTGCTCATATATTGCACCATAATAATCGTATAAAGTGACTTGGATCATTTTCTTGATACAGTTCTTGCATTTCTTACCATGCATCCAAATCCTAAAAAAACATTACGGTAATCTTGTTATGTATATTTAATCTTTATTCATAACTTTTGTCCATGATTTTATGTTGTACTTCAGATCATGGTCACTTCTAAACAGAAAGTTTAAATAGAATTTGAGTTCATGGCCAGTCTTATTTACAGTTAGACTTGTTTTTTCTGTTGGATTGCTGTTATGATATAGGTCAATAGAAAACGTGTATTAATAAGGATTTGATAAACAGATAACTCTTTCTGCTTGAGATT